AAATAACACATGGTACCTCAGGACTAAAGTGGTTTATAAAGCTTATAACCATGGTAGCTGGCCTTCCTATGGAGAAAAGATCTGGTCTAGTCCCATTCACAGGAGGCCTTCTTCCTTGAGTACCCAGCATGTGCTGGGCCCACATTGTTGACCTTTAGTGAAGGCTGTTAAGTATGCCCTGGGCTTGAAGGGCCAGTAAGCTACCCAGAAGGATCAGGAGTATTCGCTGCGTACACAGTTTCTACAATCTAGGGAGGCTGGGTGGGAAGCAGGAGTAGACAGGCTACCATTCCACACAGCAGGATGAGACTTGCCAGCAAAGCCCTGGAACAGATCAGTTCCTGAGAACTACCAGGTGACAGAGACCCCTCCAAGCATTTGACAGATAAGCTCTCAATCCGTTCAGATAGGAGTTCTGATTTTCACCCATTACTGAATAAACTGAGGCACAGAATGGAGAGGTAATACCTAAGACCATGCATGTGGCAGAGCCACACTCTGACTTCAGAATCAACACTCTGTTGGTTCTTTTCTGCTTTTGGTTTGAGACAGGGTCCTCTGCAGACCAGGCTGGCCTTGGACAGACTATGGTGATGAGGATGACACTGAACTCTTGTTCCTCCTGCCTCTGTCCCCAAGCGCTGGGATTGCAGCCGTGTGGCAGCACACCCAGGATTGACACTCTACTGCTAGGCTCAGATGGGCAGACAGATCATGTAGATGGGAGAGTGATTCAGTTTCTTAAGAATGAGCAGGGCTGGAGTGATGGCTCAGTGGTTAAGAGCACTGACTGCTCTCCCAAAGGACCCAGGTTCAATTCCCAGCACCCACATGGCAGCTAACAACTGTCTGTAACTCTAAGATCTGACACTTTCTACTCTCATACACACATTCTCCAACTCCCATAAAGGAAAAACCTTTCGCCAGGCCGTGGTGGCGCACGCCTTTAATCCCAGCACTCAGGAGGCAGAGGCAGGGGGATCTCAATGAGTTTGAGGCCAGCCTGGGCTACAGAGTGAGATCCAGTACAGTCTGTGCTGTTACACAGAGAACCCCTGTCTTAAAAAACAAAACAAAAAGAATGAGCAAGGGACATCTTATAGGCTGTGAGATGGGGAGTCTATGCTGGGGTTGAAGATATCCTAGATTTCTGTCAGGATGTTTCCAGAACAGTGGTCCTCAACCTTCCCAACACCGTGACCCTTTAACACAGTTCCTCATGTTGTGCTGACCCCCAGCCATAAAATTATTTTTGTTGCTACTTCATAACTGTAATTGTGCTACTCTTATGAATCATAATGTAAATATTTGTGTTTTCCAATGGTCTCAGGAAACCCCTATGAAAGGCTTGTTCAACCTCCGGGGGTCATAACTCACAGGTTGAGAACCACTGTTCTAAAGCAAGATGCTGTGCCCTCTTCTTCTGGATCAGGCGCCCTTGTGACCCTAGGAACCATTGCTTCCCTTTCTCTGGGACAAAGAACACAACAAAGTCAGCATGCTCTTGTGAAATCTTAAAAGCGTGCTGGCCCCATACTCTTGCGAGACTGTTGTTCCTATCTAGTTCAAAGCCGAGCACTCCCATGACTCTCTCAGACCCACAGCAACTGCTTGGAGAAAGGCAGACACACCTGAGCTCCCGATAGCTAGCTCAGCCTGGACGCATGATCTACCAGAACACCCGCTATTTCCGAGATCTGGGAGCGGCACTGCTCACGTGCTACTCTCTCCCGCTAAGAGTCCACTCTGTCCTTACCCCACAAAGTAGTGTTTCCTTCAGTTTTGAGTCAGAGCTAATGCTGCTTGTGAGACTGCCAATGGTGATCAGAAAGAAAAAAAAAGGGGGGTCTGGTTTAGCGCTGTCTTTTTCCCATTCTCCCCTCATTTGTTCCCCAATAGGTAAACTCCTAAGCACTTGATTATGATTACAAAGTGTGGGTGTGTGGGTGGGTGCAAGTGTGGGTGCACGTGGGGAGCCCAGCAGTTGATGTTGGTATCATCCTCAATTGCTTCCACCATACTTTGGAGATGGGTTCTCTCACTGATTGGCTAGGCCAGTGAGTTCCAGGGGTCCTCTTGTCTGCACGTCCCACCCAGCTTGGGGTTAGGGCACCCAGGATTTTACATGGATATTAAGGATCTGAACATCATGCTTATGGATCAATCACTTTGTTGACTGAGCTATCTCCCCAGCCATGATAGTAAGTGTGTGTGTGTGTACGTGTCTTTTGAGACAGGGTCTCCTTATGTAGCCCTGATTGACCTGGAACTCACTGTGTAGACCAGAATGGCCTCAAACTCACAGAGAGCGACCTCTTACCTCACAAGTGCTGGGATTAAAGGTATATACCGCCACCCCCAGCTATATTTTTAAAAAGATATTTATATTTTACTTTATGTGGATGGGAACTTTACCTGCATGTATGTATGTGTGTACCACTTGCATTCCCGGTGCCCTAAGGGTCAGAAGAGGGCATCAGATCCCCTTGGAGTTACAGATGGTCATTAGCTCCTGTGTGGGGACTGGAAACCAAGCCTGGATCCTCTGCAAGGGCAGCAAATGCGCTTAACCACTGAGGCATCTCTAAGGCACATGATTATAATTTTTGAGTGTGAAAATCTCCATCACCTTTCAAAATGTCAGCATGCTCTGCTGACCCGGAAATGGAGCCAAGACTTCAAAACCTAGGTACCAATATATTTGAAATCTATCATACACCCTAAACAAATACACTGAATCCTACCTCCTCAAGGTCTGGGATCACAAGACTACTGTGGAGTCCATAAGGAGAAAAATGCAGGCATGGGGTTGAAATGGAAACAGAGAAATATTACAGTTGCCAGAAAGCAGAATCCTAAGGAGTCATTGGAGAAGAGCGTGAAATATTTTTAGGAGTTAAAGCAATTAGCTGTGAGCATCTCATGTGCTAATGATTTGAAGGGCAGGGTTACAGGAGTAAATGATTCTGGAATACACAGTGATCAAACGAAATTTTTTTTTTTCTCTTCCAACTTTCAACCGGAAGAAAGCCTCTGGCTGGTGCTGGCAGGTCTTTCTAACCTCTGCAATGCTTGGTAATCTTACCTTGCAGCAGAAAGGCAGGCTGTAAGACTCAGCCGCCAGGCAGGCAGGCAGGCAATGGGTAATAGAATCGATTACTATTACTTGGCTCTCGTTTTACTAATGTTTCAGTCATCTTCTGTGTAAGCTGAGCGAGGATGTTTTATCAGTCCCTTTAGCCATCTAGAGCTCTGATTCCATGGACCCGGCACCCCTGGAGTGAGCAATGCAGACACCCAAGCTCCATCTGGGGTCTCCTGCATCACAACCTCCATTTTCAGATTCCCAGGTGATGCTGAAGTCCATGAATGTATTAAAATGAGGTGATCCAAGGAAATCTAAGGGAGGCCATCTCCAGTATCAAAGGTCTTAGGTCAGCAGGCTGGCAGAGACAGCTGTGTTAAGAGGGCTGAAAGCATGCCGTGGGGTACAGCTGCCTCTGACTCTCACAGGCCATGTGACCATAAGTAAATCACTCCATCTCTGTGCCTCCGTTTCCTTGTGTCAACTGAGGATAATAATGGCATGTGATTTCTCAAGGTTGTAAAGAGTCAATGAGATAATGGACTTAGAGTTATTCATGGCATAGAATAAGAACCTAATGCATATTAATTATAGTAATAGCAGTAGTAGTTGTATTCAACACACAGTGGATTTCAACAGTGGATTGGTAGTTATTACTTTTTTGTGGTACTGAGATCAAACCCAAGACTGCACATTCTAGGCAAGTGTCTTCCTTCCCTTTGAGCTACAGTCCCAGTTATCTATAAAAGCTATAGGGATGGCTCACCAGGTGGTACTTCTGCCAAACTTGACCCCTCCAAGTTCAATCCCCAGAGCTCACATGATATAGGGTGAGAACTGTCTCCCAGAGATTAGTGTTCCTGCTACTGATAGGAGCATCTTGATGGGAGCTTCTTAAGTGGACAATTAGAACGGAGGGTTCTGTGCATGCTTCTGTAAATATTCATATGTGGCTCTAAATGGTACTTTCAGGAAGCTAGGAACTTAGCAGAGAAAATAGAGGCTTCCTCGACCTCTCTGCCTACAGCGTTGGCTCAGAGACAACACATCAGAAGGCACCAGGGGGAAAAAAAGAGGATGACCTCATTTTATCATCCACCAGCAGAGGACCTGCCCCCCTGAATGCAATGGGAGGAATCAGAACCCACCCATCTCACTCTAGCCAAAAGGTTCAGAACGCAGCCCTCCCCCTTGTATTCACAATTGCAGCTGCACGGATTTGTACAATGAAAAGGGGCCAGGGCCCAGAGAGCTGGCCCAGCAGGTGAAGGCACTTGCCACCAAGCCGGATGACCTGAGTTCAGTCCCTGGAACCCACATGGTGGAAGGAAAACTGGCTCCTAGAGAGCGTCCTCTGACCACCACCTGAGCCCCGACCCGTGCGCACCCACATGAACCATGGCATATCCCTTGTGTAAGCACATTTCTGCAATGCTCACATAACAGCGAAAATACCTTCACAGATCTCAGATGCTCTCCATGCCATTAATCAGTGCATGAAGTATTCCTGAAAGGAGGCATAAGAAACTGGAAACAGGAAAACTGTGTGACTAGAACATAAGGGGAAAGGGGGGTCTCCTACTGCTATTGGAGAGAGAGAGAGAGAGAGAGAGAGAGAGAGAGAGAGAGAGAGAGAGAGCGCACAGACTAAAGCCAGGGTTATATGCATGCTAAGCAAGTACTTTGCCACTGAGCTACAGTCTTTGCCAAGTCTTTAGTAAATCTTTTGAATGTATTCTGGTTGTAGGCATCAAAGGTTCAAAACAACTTTTTGTATATGAACTGGTTAGCAGGCTTATAAAGAGGTGAATATTTTTCAGTCTGGTAGAGAGTCAGTTTAGAAGGGGCTGAGGAAGAAGGGTGGGTTCAGGTTTTTGACTCATCCCTGTTCACCCTGAGTCCTGACTCTCCACAGCAACAGACAGAAGTGGTCCATGTATCCCAGACCCAAGAGGAAAAGCTGGCTGCTGCCCTCAGTGTAGAGTTACACGACACTTCATGCCAGGTCCAGAGTCTCCAGGCTGAGATGGAATCTTTACGGGCTCTGGTGAGTGTGCCAAAAAAAGGCCTTGGCGGTTTGCGTGTTTAACTCTCAACTGTCAGTTTGAAGTCTCACAGGTCGCAGTTCGCAACAGGGCTTCCTTCTCACAGGATGTGGTTTTGGCGCCTGAAGTGTCTTCTGACCTCTGAGGATCATCAGACACTGACTCACACCTAACAAGTGTCGTAGACACAGCAGGGCCTGTACAACTGTCCCTTACCTGCCACTGCTGGGTATGCTGGCTGCTAACACTTGCGGCTGTCCCTTTTCGGCTGCCCTGCTTCTTCAAAGAATTGCCATCAGTCAAACAGAAGACTCCCGATCCAAGAAGTTAGGCCATGCCCCTGCCCTAGACAGTGACAGACTGATGGCTTTGAAAGCCCAGCCTACTAGCTTCAAAGTGGAAACAGCTGTCCAGAGCTCGCTCTCCATAGACTCAGGCAGTAGCCAGCTTTCAGAGAGGCCATTTTCTTGCTTAGCGCTCTCCCTGCCCTGCCTCCTTTACCTCAATCAGTCCCCCTTTTCCTGAGAGTAATCCTGAGGATCCTTGCCTCAACCTCAAACTAGTAAGCTCAGACTCGCTGTGGTTTGCAAGCAGGTGCCTTGCAACTACTAATTATTAGTAATTAAAGTAATTACAGTCGTCCCTCTGTATCCATGGTTTCTCCATCTGTGGATTCAATCAACCTTGGACTGGAAATATCCAGGAAAAACATCGCACCTGTTCCACACTTGTGCAGCCTTTATTTCTTACCCATGTTCCCTAAACAACAGCCTAGTCATCATCTATATGGCTGCGCATTGTACAACGTAAACGTCATCTAGAGATACTTCACAGAGATTCAAGGAAATATGCAGGAGGATTGTGTAGGTTATATGCACATATGATGTCATTTTCTGTAAGATATTTGCATCTATAAATTTAGATATCCGCAGACATCTTGGACCCAACCCAATACAGCTCCAAAGATGACTGAATTAAGCTTCACCTTCTGGGTGGGACTGAGCTCTATTAGGGTATCATGACATCTCCTTCATTGTTCTAACTACAAAACATTGTTGGAACACATGTATGTGTCGGCATGCTTTTAAGTCTATATCACTCACAAGAACTCACCGTGTTCCAGGAGCTATACCAAGAGCTTTGGGAACATAAGACTAATTAGACATGGCCTCTACTCCCAGAGAATCAGTGACTTCTGTAGAGGAATTGATGTCACCTTAAGAATCCCAAGGCTCAGCATGTGAGGGAGTGACAAGTGGGGAGACCAGCCCCACTATGGGAGTCAGTGTGTTTCTCTTTTTGGTGGGTATAGAGAAGGGCACAGTTGGGGCGGAGTCTAAAAGAACCCCACACACCATGAAGTCTACATCTGCCTCTGCTCTTCCTGTGAAATTGAGGCGTGTTTCTCAGACTGTGATCTTGAACCCCGGGCTCCTCTCTTCACTAGTCACATGACCCTCTGAACTTGTATTTTCTCATTTGTCTAGCAAGGATCTATTTTAGTCACCCTGTTGACCTGCTATCTTGGTGGCTTAAGACAACAGAATCATATGCTCCATCGTCCTGTGATTTAGGCAGAGGTCAGCAGGGAGAGTTCTTCCCTAACCTTCATGATGTCTGCTGGGGTTGGGGCACCCACTAGGGGCTTCTTCAGCTCACATGGGAGATGCCTTAATTGTGAATCTGTGTCCTGCTCTGAAACCTCTCCACAGAGCTAGCTTGGACTTCCTTGTACTATGGTGGTGTTATTACTACAGCTGGACTTCTCATGTGGAAGCTTGCTTCTCTTAAAGAGCGAGCATAAATCTACCAGCCCCTTGGCCTCTTAGCTTTAGAGTTTCTGAACATTACATATATCTTACTCTATTGGTCAAAGCAACCACAAGAGTGGCGAGATCCAAGAAGCCCCAACTCTTAGCAAGGTCACCTTGAGAAGAACCATGTGGGATGGTGATAATTGTTGCAGCTGCCTTTGGAAATGTGATCTGTCCTAGGATCAGAATAGAGCTGACCTCAGAAAGTCACCGGGACAACTAATTAGATAATGTATGTCAAGCCTTTTACACCGTTCCTGACTCAGGCAAGCAGTCAACAAATGGCATCTGTTATAATTTATCATGCAAAACCAGAACCTCTGACTCGGGAACCCCCAGTGGGCATCATCAGCCACCTGGTCACCTCACTTCAACCCCAGGCTCCTAACTGTTGGGAAATGGAAAAAAGAACTCAGACGCCAACCAGAAGACTTCAGAGTGATGGCATTCCACCTATGCTCATGACTCAAGATGGGCTAGCTCTGTCCCCTGTGTGTTCCAATAGATCAACATTCCCATTACTGTGCCTTACAGCCAAGATGAAGAACACAGACTGGGGATGGGGGAGGACTAGTTCATCCAGCTATCCTGAGTCAAAACAACCCATGCGTACACAGTGCCATCACTCTGGTAAGCCAGACAACTTTGTTGGCCGGACTTTCGGCTCCCTTTGCCACTAGGGCACTGTTTGTATTGGAAGCCAGGCACCATATAGGCCTACTGAACTCTGTATTTAGTGGAATTCCAGCCCAGAATTTGTCAAAAATAAGTATTATCTTGCTTCTGGGGAAATTTGCAATTCAAGAAAGTCCCTTCCAGTCTTCAGAGACCCGGAGGAATCAAGAGCCTCTGTGGGTCTCAGAGTGTTACTGGTGCTGTCCATGTCCCTAGGGCTATGGAAGCTGCAATGGGAGTTGGCCGTAGATGCTCAGGCTCAAACATCTCTGAAGAACCAAGCCTCTCCTTCTAGGATGTCAGGAGCTTGGCCCTATATAGTGGTTCATGCCTTTAAACCCAGCACTTGGGAGGCAGGTAGATCTCTGTGATTTTGAGGTCAGCCTGGTCTACACAGTGAGTTCCAGGAAGGCCAGGACTACATGGTGAGACCCTGTTGGGGCACAGGGTGAAGAATGGATGCCAGGAGCTTAGGTGAAGATGCTAGACATGGACTCTAAGGGTGGAATAGAAGGTCCACAGGACCTCTGATAAGGGGTCTCATGAGTGTACCCCTGGGACAATATCCAAGTCAGCAAGGAAAACCCTTTGGCCACACGGGGAGCTCACCTAGAATGTGGGGCAAAAACTGTAGACAGACAGTCCAAGCATGTCCCTGTAAAGTGCTTCTCTAAATCACAGATGTCACAGATCCAGTGTCAACAACTCACAAAGAGGACACAGGTTTAGAAATCTGTTCAAGACAAAAAATCTAACTCCTATATAAAACAAAAGAGAGAAAACACAAGGAGATGGGAACAAATGTTCCTTAGTCTAGGCCATTCCTGCATGTTTGCCACAGACCCCACCAGTGAACTAGCAACCAGGGTCAGAGGCTGATGGTCTACACATAGTGAGCTCACACTGCTTCCTAAAAGGCACTAGGCTGGGCATCTGACTAAGGTTTCACATGTCTTGAGGAGCTAAGAAGATCCAGAGGCCAAGGAGATTGCTCAGTCAGTCAAGTGCTTGCCCTGAATTCCATCGCCAGAGCCTGCATATTTAAAGGAAGGAGAGAGAGGGGGGGGGGCAGGCATGGTGGTGTGCCCTTGTAATCACGGCACTGGGGAGGACAGGTCCAGACTACTTGTTGAGTTTCAGGCCAGAGAGAAACTTTGCCTCAAAGAGAAATGTGAACAGTGTCTAAAGAATAATGTCTGAGGTTGTCCTCTGATTCCACACACACATACACGTGTGTACACCCACACAGACATGGGTGCCCACACACACATGAACACACATGCTTTAAGCTAATATGATGACCTTTGCTTAACAGCACCACAAACAAGAATCTTCCACTTCAGCTACAGAAGTCAGAAGTCTGTTTTACAAAACATCCCTTCAAGGGGTCCAGTAAATTAATTCATCAAGATTTGAGTGAATCCAACTTAGGAAAAGAGATTTGTTTTTGTGTTACATTGCCAGTCATGGTAGCACCTGTGCTCAATCCCAGCACTCGGGAAGCAGAGGCAAGCAGATCTCTGTGAGTCTAAGGTCAGCCTGGTCTACAGAGTGAGTTCCACAACAGCCAAAGCTATGAAGAAGGAGGAGGAGGAGGAGGAGGAGGAGGCAAGTCCTGAGGCTGCAGAAATAGAGAGACGGCTCAGCAGTTAAGAGTGTATGCTACCCTGGCAGAAGACCCCAGTTCAGTTACTGAAACTCATGCCAGGTGACTTACAACCACCTGTCACTCCAGCTCTAGGAGATCATCTGGCCTCCACGGGCACCTGCACTCATATGTACACACCATCACATAGACACTCATGAATCCATAAATTAAAAATAAGAAAAAATTGGCTGGAGAGTGGCTTAACAGTTAAGAGGACTTACTTCTCTTAAACATGTATACTTAAACATGTATGTACATACACATAAAATAAAATAAATAATAAAAAATGATATAAAATCTCTTCAAAGCCAGGTACTAAATTATAAGGCCACCATACCCGAGACTATTAAACCTGGGCACACTGATGGCCAGTGCTAGCTTTCAGGGCACAGTACACAGGAAGATGAGGAGAAATAGGTTTGCAGTCTAACTCAATGGTCCTCAACCTTCCTAATGGATCTCCAACTATAAGATTATTTTTGTTGCTACTTCACAGCTGTAATTTTGCTACTGTTATGAATCATAATGGAAATATCTTATATTCAGGATATCGGATGTGCAACCCCTCAAGGGATCTCGACCCCTTGGTTGAGAACCACTGGTAACTGCTGAGAAAAAGAGCAGTGGGACAATAAATGTAACCATGTGGCAGGCGCCTTCACCCAGGCAACACATGGACCTGGGTCTGCACAGGCTCTTTCCTGGCACTGAGAGAACAGAGACAAGTTTCCCTCTAAGTCTTGCCATCTTGTAGGACAAGCACATCCATGTGGTGAGTTCAAAGACATGCATGTGCCTGGGGAGCCATGGAAACATAGGAAGCTCCTAACCCAACTTGTTTGTAGTAAAGACTGAGGAGCATTGAGGAAGGCTTGCTAGAGAAGTGACGCCTGAACTTGAACTTGAGGATGTATAGGAATGAAGCAAATGAGAATGCTGCAGAAAAAAAACAATGCGAGGCTGTGCACAGTGTGGTATACCTGTAATCCCAGCACTTGGCAGGGGGATGGGTCTCTGTGAGTTCGAGGCCAGCCTGGTCTACATAGTAAGTTCCAGGACAGCCAGGGCTACATAGTGAGACCCTGTTTCAAAAAGAAAGGAAGAAAGAGAAAGGAAGGAAGGAAGGGAGGGAGGGAGGGAGGGAGGGAGAAAGGTGGGAAGGAAGGAAAGGAGGGAGAGAGGAAGGAAGGAGGATGGGAGGGGAAAGAAAAGAGAAACAATATGAACCCAGTAAGCTTCCATGACTAGAAATGTTGACACAAGTGTAGAGTAGGAGGTGAATGGGAAGACACAGAACCAGCCATGGGAACCGTACCAGGGCTCCTTGGGAGCCACTGTTGTGAGGTTTAAGTAGAGGATAGGAGCCCAGAAGCGTACTTTGACCAAGGCACCTTAGGAGCTGTGTGGGCAATGTAGGAAGTTAGAAACTAAAATCAGGGTGATGAGAAAAGAGGCCACTGAGCTGACCTCGGGTGACAAATGTCCAATCTCAGGCCATGGTGTTAGGAGAATAAAGGTGAATGTAAAAACCTCAAGGGAGATGTAAGAGGCAGGACTCAGAATCCATAAGTGGCAGTGATGACTGAAAGTCTGGGACACATCTTCCCCCAGTCTCTCCAGCTGACACACCAAAGAGGAGAGTCCAGGGGTTCAAAAGCAAGCCGCTGGCTCTGTTTTGGAGTTGTCAGTATGTATTTCTAGTAAGAGGTTCAATAGCAGGCCCGAGGCTGAGGGAGAGGGCTGCGCTGGAGGCATAGTGCAGGCGTCATGAACTGCTGGCAACCTGACTGAGGCCATCAGCCATGCAGACCCAAAATCCCTGCTCGAGGATCTCTAGCTCCTGATGGGGCAATGGGAACCTACCAAGGAGCAGAGGGCCTGGCAAGGATGTATTACTAAACACCACAGGAAAATGCTGAGAGGTAAGGGTCAGATACAGCCATTTCGGCTCCCTCCTGGTCATCCCCTCCTGCCCATCCAAAGAGTCGATGAAGCAGAGCTCTACCTTCTTATTCTTCCCTAGAGCCAGATTGATCTCTATCATTCTCCAGAGTTGACAACATCATTGTTCCAGAAAAACATGGGCAGAGCAAGTCAGTCATACATGTCCTACCTGGAGGGCCCAGCCCGATGACCTTCACTCTTTTGTAGAAACGAGGCCTAGAAAACACCTTGCATGATGCCAAGCATTGGCATGACATGGAGCTGCAGAACCTGGGTGCTGTGGTGGGCAGGCTGGAGGCAGAGCTGGCAGAGATCCGCTCGGAGACGGAGCAGCAACAGCAGGAGCGGGCACACCTGCTGGCATGCAAGAGCCAACTGCAGAAGGATGTGGCATCCTACCATGCCCTGCTGGACAGAGAGGAGAGCAAGTATGTCTCACTTCCGCCTTATCTACAGGAAGAATGCACATGGAGGACAGGGTGGGACTGGGAGGGTCCAGAGCTGGCCGGAAATACACAAAGCCCTGGGTTCAACCCCCAGCATTGCATAAAACTCTTCCTGATGACCCCACATGCCCCATTTCACTCAAGACCAGGAGGGAAGAGGGAGTGTCAAAAGGCCTTTTTCTTGAGTGACTCTTAAATTTTTTTTGAAAAATGGAGATTTTTATTTATGATTATTTTATGGGTATGGGTATTCTGCCTGCAAGCAAGTCTATGCAACATCTGTGTGCAGTGCCCATGGAGATCAGAAAAGGGGACTGGAGTTAAGACAGTTGTGAGCTGCCACACGGGTGCTGGGGATTGAACCCAGGTCCTCTGGAAGAGCAGCCAGTGCTCTTAACTGCAAAGTGGTCTCTAGCCCAACTCTCAAACATTTGGAGGAGGCTTCTTGTTGACTTTCTTTTATCTGACTGGCTTACCTGCCTACAAGGGATGCTGAGGAAACTGTTTCATTTGGACTCTGCAGAGGAGTCAAGCAAGGTGTCGGCAATGACAATGGGGTTGGCCAGCATGTCTGCCCAAGTCATACACACACACACACACACACACACACACACACACACACGACCTTGTGAGCATATGTGCATCCTCTCTAATCAATAGGCACATTCAGAGACATACACATCAGTCTCGGGGCTTAGTATCATTGGAGAGACTTGCTAGAAATCCAAATCTTTATTTTTTTTTTCATTTTCTCTATCTTCATACCTCCCTCCAAGATCTCCTCTATGACACATTGAATCAGAAATTGAACAATAAGGGCTGGAGAGATGGCTCAGCAGTTAAGAGCACTGGCTGCTCTTCCAGAGGACTTGGGTTCAATTCCAAGAATCTACAAAGTGGCTCACAACAGGCCCAGGAGATCAGACACTCTCTTCTGGCCTTAATGGGCACCAAGAATGCATATGATGTACAGACATATATGCACACAAAATACCTGTACACAATCAATCAATCAATCAATCAATGATTTTTTAAAGCAACACTATGAGACAACTTAGGGGAGCTGGGGAGCTGGGTCAGCAGGTAAAGGCATTCCTTACACAAGCCTAACAGTCTGAGTTGAACCCCCAGAATCTACATAAAGGAGGAGAGAACTGACTCCATGAAAATGTCCTCTGGTTTCTATACATGTGCTATGGCATTCGCCCACATGTGTGCACGTGTGTGTGTGTGTGTGTGTGTGTGTGTGTGTGTGTGTGTATGCGCGCGCGTGCGCACACGCGCGCGCACACACGCACATGCAAATACTAATAAATAAAAATAGAGTACAAAAGCCAGCTTAGAGGTCACATAGTCCATCTCAAGAGTGAATGGGAAGGCCCAAATGGGAGGGGTTTGTCCATGGTCACACACAGAAACTGAAGCAACTCTGGGTCCTGAGCCCAGGTTTCTGGACCCTCTCCCAGAGAGCACAGCATCCCGTTTGGGGAAAGAATGACCAGAGAGCCACCTGCAAACCTTCCAGCCCCTCCTTTAAGTGGAAAACATCATCTCTCTCCCCCAACTGTCTTTTTGTCCAATTGCTTTCTGTGGAATGTGAAAGCCAGATGTTCCTAACAAAGCTAAACCTTTCAGATTCCTATGCACATCTGAGTAAATATAAAAGTCATTTTAAATAAACATGGGGGAGTGAGGGAGGTGGGATGTAGTTCAAGAACATAAGCACCCGCTGAGTGGCTGTTCAGCAGAGTCCAGCCCTAATCCCTGGCTGCCTCCATTCCTTCCTGTGCCCACCAGAATTTCACAAATCCCCAGTTACTGATAGGAACACATGTCCCAGAGTTCCGGAAAAGTCATTTGTCCAAAATCCATCAAACCACAAAATGAGGATTCGAACCTTGGCCCTGTCTTATTCCAAAAGCCAAATTCTTGCCCAAAGCACAGCTTCCTTTCCCACAGTCCTGCCATGGTGTCTTTCCCGGTGTTCTGTCTCTCTTGCTTCTGATTCACCTGTGTTCCTTTTCAGCTGACGGGAAAAACAAAAATAACTTCCTTCTTCCACAAAGACAACTACCTTCTTCAGCAGCCCACCAGCGAGGATGCTTGAGGAACTTCCGTCGCTGCTGGATCCCCCGGTTGACTCAGCCGGAGCTGGAAAGCTTCCTGGGAGTGGAGAGGGCCCTTCTGCTCTCATTTAGGTAGTCTGTAGTTTGAACAACCTAGGCCTCTCCAAATAAATGCTTTGTGTGCAGCTCCTAGTCCGCCATTTTGTGTTTAACTTGCTGTTGGTGCAGAGACAAGGTCGTTCTATCTGCATATCTCAGGGGCCCTTGGGGATTTTCGTTGGTATTGTGTGTGTGTGTGTGTGTGTGTGTGTGTGTGT